TCAATTTTGTACAATTGAAGTCAAATTAGTACAATTGAAGTCGAATTAGTCCAATTGAACTCGAATTAGTACAATTGAAGTCAACTCCGTACAATTGAAGTCGAATTAGTACAATTAAATTCGATTAGTACAATTAATGTCGAAATAGTACAATTGAAGTCAAATGAATACAATTGAAGTCGAATTACTACAATTGAAGTCAAATTAATACAATTGAAGTCAAATTAGTACAATTGAAGTCGAATTAGTACAATTGAATTCGAATTAGTACAATTAATGTCGAATTGGTACAATTTAATTCGAATTAGTACAATCGAAGTCAAATTAATACACTTGAAGTCGAATTAGTACAATTGAATTCGAATTAGTACAATTAATGTCGAATTAGTACAATTGAATTCAAATTGAATTCGAATTAGTACAATTGAATTCAAATTAGTCTAATTCAAGTAAAATTAGTACAATTGAAGTCAAATTAATACAATTTAAGTCAACTTAGTACAATTCAAGTTAAATTTGTACAATCGAAGTCGAATTAATACAATTGAAGTCAACTTAGTACAATTCAAGTCAAATTAGTACAATCAAAGTCAAATTAATACAATTGTAGTCAACTTAGTACAATTTAAGTCAAATTAGTACAATCGAAGTCGAATTAATACAGTTGAAGTCAACTTCATACAATTGAAGTCGAATTAGTACAATTGAATTCGAATTAGTAAAATTAATGTCGAATTAGTCTAATTCAAGTCAAATTAGTACAATCGAAGTCAAATTAATACAATTGAAGTCAACATAGTACAATTCAAGTCAAATTAGTATAATCGAAGTCGAATGAATACAATTGAAGTCAACTTAGTACAATTCAAGTCAAATTAGTACAATCGAAGTCAAATTAATACAATTGAAGTCAACTTAGTACAATTCAAGTCAAATTAGTACAATCGAAGTCGAATTACTACAATTGAAGTCAACTTAGTTCAATTCAAGTCAAATTAGCACAATCGAAGTCAAATTAATACAATTGAAGTGAACTTAGTACAATTCAAGTCAAATTAGTACAATTCTTGAATGTCGGCCCATCAGAGCGAGAATGCAAACGACAGCTCTCAGATGGAGAAGACACCAAGGTCTACGAACGAAGGGCGAGGGCCCTTATACTCTGGTGCATAGGCTCGTTCTTCTTCCCCGACCAGCGGACGAACGAAGTCAACCTATACTGGTTGGATATGCTGCACGACATTGATCAAATTAAGGGGTACAGCTGGGGTGCAGCAGTCCTCGCCGGATTGTATAGAGCATTGTGCACAGCCTTCGAGGCCAGGCAAGGCTGGATGAAAGGCTGTGTGCAATTGCTTCAGGTACATTTATTTAGTTGTTATTTAAAAATTCTTTTTTTTTTTATTCTGACTAATATCTAATACAAAAAATGATGTCGATATGTGTAGGTTTGGGCATGGGAATGCATCCCTCGCATTCGCCTAACAATGAAGTCCACGCGCTTTGATTATGTACGTTGTTGTCCCTTAGGAGCAAGGTATAAACATTTATTTATATTTAATATTAAATTTTTTCATTATTAAAATTTTAATTACAAAGTTATTTTTCTGTGATTTTTAAGGTGAGTGGGAAGAAAGATCATGACGCACCTAGCCAAGGGAACGGCCGCTATCCAGGATCAGCTGACATGGCTGAGAGAGACGGATGTAAGATTCTTAAGTTCTATATATTAACTTATCTTTTGGTTTTTATTGTTTTGAAATTTTATCTAACTTAATTCTTAGTAATTCTTAATTTAATTTTTTTTCTTTTTTTTTCAGTTCGATTGGATGTCTTATGTCCAGTTCCTCGAGGATTCGTCTACTCTCCCGGACCAGTGTACAGAAGATCAAAAAGTTTGGATGTACAAGGGGCCCATCTTCTGCTGGAACATCTGTGAGCCCCACGAGCTTGATAGGGTCCTCCGTCAGTTTGGATGTCGCCAGTCCATCCCCCCAGCTCCGATCATTAGGGATGTGGTCCCAATGGGAGACACTCCACCGAGGCCAGGGAATGAATGGGAGGGCATATACTGATTGGGCCGCCTTTCATTCCGATCTTAGGAAGACTTAGGCCGAAAATAGAGATCAAAATGTCCTCCCACATCAACCGGTGGATCAGTTCCTAGAGCCTGAGGAGGGTTACATTGATTGGTTTCACAGAAGGACTGTGAGACTGATCAGTAACCCTAACAACTATCCGACGGTCCAACAAGACGGCGGCTATCAGCCAATGGCTGAGCGAGCAAAGTGTGACGTAAGTTCCTAAATTGTGAATTTTATTACTATTATTATTATTATTATTATTATTTATATTATTATATATATATA